GTTTTATTTGTATTAGAACCCAGGTGCCACACTGTTCACACATTGATTTGATATGTTTGTAAAAAATTAAAAAATTAAAAACAGGGGGGGGGGAACCCTCAATCCGGATTCGGTTTTCCTTTTCGCTAGGATGTTGCTGCTATTCAGAAGGACTGGGAATAAAGGTAGAAATTATTTCACATTAACCCCAATTATAAGTAAGTCTGTATGCATTTCAGGTTATTGTTGCCTCTCCTTTACTCCTTGAAATAAAGCTATGGCCCCTAAGCAAAAATTAAATTACAAGCTATCTGTGCTGCAGTTATGATGACGTATACCTAAAAATCTAACCTCTGGATAGATTTATATTTGGTGGCTGGACAATTAAAGGAAACATATTTCTTAAGGTGTTTTATGTTTCTCTTTTATCCAGCCTCTAAGAATTATCTCTGAAGTACTTCACACCAATTTTTCATTAATCCATTGTAATTTATTACATACACATCCTACTCTCCCTCCTGAGGCTTTAAGGCAATGTGCATTTTAGTCTTTTCTCTTTTCTATAGCTTTTATTGTTTTGTCAATGTATAAAATCCAAAGAAAAAGAAATAGAGGAAGTGAAGGGAAGAAAAAAGGGGGAAAGGAAATATGAGGTACAAAGGAAGAAAGAAAAAGGCGTTGGCTTCAGACTTTTTGTAGCATAGTACAAGATAACAACATTACAACCTCAACTTTTTTACTTTTACACATTAGTATTTACTTTTACTTTTACACATTAGTATATAACTAGCCATTTCTATGACAACCAATCTGTCTAATTGGCAAAACCAAAGTCAAAAGTTTCATTTTTTTTACATCAGAAGCACAAAATCCGGAATCCAAGTAAAAAACATAAATACTATATATTCTCCTCAATCAATTTTCCTGCTTGATCTTCTTTGCTGTTAAAATATGTATTTCTATTTGCACTTAATAATCTTTATAAACTACCACAGTTTATATTAACAAAATTCACTGTAATGTTTCAGATTCTTTCACCTTAAAAGGAAGTAATTTTTTAAAATCCATTTTAATCTAAGTCTTTCTCCATTTGGTTCTCCCTACAGTCCAAGCCTTGTGTTGATATACTGGAGGCTGGATTTTCACGTATCAGACAGTGATGGGCTTGAATCACACCAGGGAGTGAACTACAGGTAGCCCTCGACTTACAACTGTTCTTTTAGTGATCATTTGAAGTTATGACGGCACTGAAGAAAATAATTTATGGCCGTTTTTCAATGAGCATCTTTGGCAACCTTCTGACGAGCAAAGTCAATGGGAAAGCCAGAATCACTTAAAAAGCATGTGACTAACTTAACCGGAAGAATTCACTTAACAACTATGGCAAGAAAGGTTGTAAAATGGGACAAAACTCATTCAACAAGTATCTTGTTTAGCAACAGAAATGTTGGGCTCAACTGTGGTTATATGTCGAGGACTACCGATATAAAGAGGGCTGTGAAAATATTTACAGACCGCTCGCATCCTGGACATAAATTGTTTCAACTCCTACCCTTAAAACGATGCTGTAGAGCACTGCACACCAGAACAACTAGATACAAGGACAGTTTTTTCCCCGAACGCCATCACTCTGCTAAACAAATAATTCCCTCAACACAAACTATTCACTATTGCATTACTATTAATTTTCTCATTGTTCTCACCATCCATCTCCTTCCACTTACAACTGTATGACTGTAACTTGTTGCTGTATCCTTACAATTTATATTGTTTCCCTATGACTATCATTAAGTGTTGAACCTTATGATCCTTGACGAATGTATCTTTTCTTTTATGTACACTGAGAGCCTATGCACCAAAGACAAATTCATTGTGTGTCCAATCACACTTGGCCAATAAAGAATTCAACTCAACAACTCAACTCAACTCTTCTCTTCTCTTCCTGTTTACCAGCCCCAAGCCACCCTCCCATCCTGGGGCCTAGAAGTTAAATCACTACCATAAGAGATAAGGAAATGATGGATATAATTGAGTTCAAGAAATAATCCAGCATTTAAGCGACATCAAAGAGTGTCTTATGTTAGGCCATGTCTTTCCAGATATCATCATCAATGTTGGGCCAAATGGACTTGAATATCCATAATTTCATCTACACCAAGTTGGAGAGCAGAGAGTGATCTAACACAGCGTGACATTTAAAAAACAGACAGCCCAGTGCTAAGCAGATCCCAGAAACAAGTCACAATATGTTCAGTGGAATTCACTAAAAGGTGGCTTACGCATATGATAGAAGTTCAAGTTATGAATAAAAGAATCCTCAATTCAAAATTTAATCTTAGGCAAGCTCCTTTTCCTGCCAGGTCTCAAATACGGGATAAACAATAGGTTCCTGCTTATCCATTTAAGCAAAATTTAAAATTAAGCAAGAATTAAAGCATAAGAAGAGCATGAGGCAATTAAAATCTACAGGTAGGCCTCTGCTTACGACGACTTGTTTAGCAACTGTTCAAAAAAGACGTTTAAAAAAAGTGAATCACCAGTCCTCGCACTTACAACTGCCACAGCATCCGTGCAATCATGTGATCGTGATTCACGCATTTGGCAACGGTCCTACATTTACGACCTGTCAAGTGAGCTTCCCAGCTGGCTTCCAACAAGCAAAGTCACCCGGAAAGCCAGCAGGGAAGTTGCAAGTTGTTATCACTGTCCCACTTAATGACCATGACAGTGGTTCGCTTAACAACCACAGCAAAAAAAGGATGGTGAAATCACATGATGCCTCACTTAATGACTGCACCACTTTACGAATGAATTTTATGGCCCCTGTGGTGGGCATACATCGAGGACTACCTGTATGTGTCAGCGTCTCAGACCATAAAGATCATAGTTCAAATCAACCTGCCTGGTATAGATTTCACTGGATGACCTATTAACTTTATTAATAGGCTGTATAAATCTAATCTACCTCTGAAGGAAGTTGCAAGAATTTTATAATCGTGGCCACAAGATGTCCATGAACATCACTGTTCACTATGGAGAAAGCCTGGGATAAATTCAATAAATAAGCACTAAGTAAAGTGATTCAGCGATCAGAAGTGCTATATAAAAGTCTTGCTCACCCATCAAGATTACCGGGTGGCCTTGGATAAGTCACAAACATGCCTGTTGTGGGGAAAAACCTAGAGAGACAATAGCCAGCAAGTCGAATCACAAACTTTCTAGAACTGCTGTTCACCCTGGCTACGTTCACATGACTTAACTGAACCAAAACTAGCAAGCCAAGTTTATCTTAGAGTGTTGCATGAATTCAGGCCACAGGGCCAGTTGATGGTTCAGCCCGTCTCATGTATGAAGTCAGAAATGACACGAACTGAGCAAAATCACGCTTAAGCGGGATATATCATGCAGATTCAAAACCAGTGACTGGCAGTTGGGCTCTCCAGGCTTCCAAACAACAGGTATTTCATCCCTGCTTAAAGACGCAACAATCTGGACTCTTCTGTTCCCTTCCCATTTGACTGCTTTGCAAAATAAAATTTTTTAAAAAAAGATGTTACTTAATGCCAATTGCATAAAGGTGCCATGTCAATCCTGGTTTATTGTTATTGATAGACGCATCACAACCCAACCAGATTCTTTATCGAGGAAACTCCGAAGGTGCTTTTTTTTCCTTTTTTTTTCAAAAGGCAACTGGACTTTCCGGGTTTTTCCTTGAAGGCATTTCGCTTCTCATCGGAGAAGCTTCCTCAGGTCTCCTTTTCACAGGTCGACTCCTGAAGAAGCTTCTTGGATGAGAAGCGAAACGTCTTCATGGAAAAAACAAGAAAGTCCAGTTGCCTTTTGAAAAAAAGAAAACACCTTTATCACCTGGATGACTGAGAACCTCCATAATTTCTCCAGGAAAGGAAAACTATGAAACCCCCAAGAAAACACCACCACACACAGGAAATAAATATAGAAGATGAAAACACATTGAAGGGGAAAACCATCATCAGCTTCTCCAGCCAAAACCCCTCCTGCCATGGCCAGAGACCTGCTGGCCCAGAGCGGAGCAGATCCAGCTTGGATCCCCCTCCCCAAATACCCCCCCCCAGGGTCTCCATCCCGTTCACCTCTTATCCTTCTGGGATCTTTGTCCCTTAACTCCCTTTTGGGTCCTTCAAATATTCAGGGGGCCTTTGTTCCCCTCCTCCCCCCACCTTCCTTGGGGTCCTGATCCCCCACTTCCTATCAGGGCCCCCAAGACAATCCTCCAGCTCCCCCCTCCTCCTATTCTGAGGCCTTACCCCTTAATTTCTTCTTGGAGGTGGTCTCCCCCTGCTTCCCTCCTCCCCCTAGGGGTCCTTCTCCCTCCTTCCTATCAAGACCCCACCCAATACAATCCTCCGCTCCCCCTCCTCCTATTCTGAGGTCCCTCCCTTACCTGGTTCTTCTTGGGGGTGGGTCTCTCCCTCCTTCTCTGCTTCCCCCCCCCCCCCCCGGCCCCCGCCCCCCCCTTTCCTATCAGGCCCCCCCCCACAATCCCTCCTCCTATTCAGAGGTCCCTCCCTTACCCCTTCTTGGGGGTGGTCTCCCCCTGCTTCCCTTCCCCCTCCTAGGGGGTCCTCCTCCCCCCTTTCCTATCAGGACCCCCCCCAAAACCCCTACTCCTATGCTGAGGCCCCTCCCTTACCCCTTCTGGGGGGGTCTCCCCCTGCTTTCCTCTCCCCTCCTAGGGGTCTTGCTCCCTCTTTCCTATCAGGACCCCCCCCCCCCAATCCCCTCTCCTATTCAAAGACCCCACCCTTACCTTCTTGGGGGAGGGTCTCCTCCTGCTTCCCAACCCCCCTCCTCGGGGTCTTGCCCCCCCTCAAAAAAACTCCTCAGCCCCTCCCCCTCCCCCCTCCTCAGGGTCCTCCTCCCCCATTCTCTCCCCTCCCCCACGCCGCCCATCCGCCTTCCCCGCCCTCAGAAAGCCCAGGCTCGGTCCGAGCTGGACACCCCGGCCGGGAGAGGCCTCCCCGGCGGCCCTCCGCCCTCACCGCTGTCGCCGATGATGAGGAGTTTGAAGAGGTGGTCGTAGTCCCGGGCCATGGCCGCTTGCGGGGGTGGGGGTGGGGCTCCGGGGGAGCGGCCGCTCCCGTCTTGGGCGCGAAGGCCGAGTCTCCTCAGGCGGCGCCGAGGCCGGATCGGCTCCTCGACCTGCAGCCGGAACTGACAGCGGCGGCGGCGGCTGCAGCGACGGCGACAGCCCCCGCCCCGCCGCTCGTCGCTTCCCCTCCCAGGCGCATGCGCACTCTCCTCCGCCCGGGCGGCTGAGGGGGGGGGGAAAAACCGCCAGTGGCTCGAGCGGGTCTCCTCGGCGCGCACGCGCGGCGCCGCCCTTTTCGCCTCGCTTCCTCTCCCTTTTTTTTTTTTTCCCTGACTCAACAGGGCGGCTTCTGCCAGTACTTCTTCTCTTCCGTTTTCCCCCCCCCCAATAACCACCACCACCCGTCGGTGGAGAGGCCCAAAGCGCAGGCGCAAAAGGAATCTTGCCCGGCTGTTCAGGCAAGGAAGGGTGAAGGGGCGGGGAAAAAAAAAAGACAGAAGACCCGCGCATGCGCTTTATCGTTCTTCTTTATCTGTTCTTCTTCCGCCCACCTGAGAGGTGTACCTGGCTGGAACTGGGAGGGGGCTGGGGGGGGGTAGATTTCTTCAGGAGGACTGTTGTTTTTTTTCAACCAAAAAACAGAAAAAGGCAGCTCAGGATGCTGCCTTTACATAGTTTACAACCTTGGCACAGCTTTAAAATGGGTCGACTTCCAATATTTATTTTATTTTATTTTATTTTATTTTATTTTATTTTATTTTATTTTATTTAAAATAAATAAATTTATTTATTTAAATTGTGTGGACTTCCAATATCCCAGAATTCCCCCAGCTAACCATCCTGGCTGAGGGAATTCTGGGAGTTGAAGTCCACCCGTCTTAAAGTTGAGCCAAAGTTGAGAAAGAGTGATCCACAACAATGAAAAACAACACTTATTCAGAGTGTTGCTAGCTTTGCTGGAGAGGATGTCTAGGCAAGGATGCCTCTGAGAGTGTGCAGAGGGCATCTAGTTCATTTTGGCGGCAGCCAAAACAGCCAATGCAATCGAGGGATACGATCAAGATCAAGGGAGGCACTAATACCACTCTATAAAGCCTTAGTAAGAGTCCTGCATCCAGTTTTGGTCACCACACTATAAAAAAGATGTTGAGACTGTAGAAAGAGTGCAGAGAAGAGCAACCAGGATGATGAGGGGACTGGAGGCTAAAACATAGGATGAACGGTTGCAGGAACTGGGCCTGGCTGGTCTAGTGAAGAGAAGGACCAGGGGAGACAGGAGAGCAGTCTTCCAATATTTGAGGGGCAGCCCCAGAGAGGAGGAAGGGGGCCAAGCTATTTTCCAAAGCAGCCGAAGGCCAGACAAGGAAGAATGGATGGAAACTGATCAAGGAGAGAGATTCAACCTGGAAATAAGGAGAAATTTTTCTGACAGTGAGAACAATCAACAGATGGAAGAGAAGTTGCCTTCAGAAGTTGCAGGAGCTTCATCACTGGAGGCTTTTAAGAAGAGACTGGACTGCCATCTGTCAGAAATGGTGTAGGGTTTCCTGCATGAGCGGGGGATTGGACTAGATGACCTACAAGGTCTCTTCCAACTCTGTTAATCTGTTATCTGTTAGTTTATTACATCCGTATTCTTGGACATACGAACCGTTGAAACAAGTTTCATATGATTTCTACCTGTTGGAAGGCTGCATCTTGCTTTGTGGCCTTGTTCTGAGACCTCACTGCAAAAGAATGGGAGCTTGGCTCTTTTAGGGTGTGAGTTTTAGATGTGGTACAGGTCCCGTAAACAAGGATCAAGGTAGCTATTTTGCCCCATAACATATAGGTAATCCTCGAATTGCGACCACAATGGAGCCCAAAATCTATGTTGCTAAATGAAAACATTTGTTAAGTGAGTTTGACCGATTTTACAACTTTTCTTGCCGCTGCCGTTAAGCGAATCGTGGAGATCGTATGACCCCGGGACACTGCAACCGTCATAAGTACGAACCAAGTTGGCAAGCGTCTGAATTTTCATCATGGAACCATGGGGATCCTGCAACGGTCGTAAGTGTGAAAAAAAAAACTGTCAGAATTCGAGGATCTTGCCCAATAATTACTCAGAGTCTTTTATGATGATAATAATATTCATTTATTCATATCTGATCTCTTGCAGGAGATGCAGAGGAAGAACCAAGAATCAGGGAGTGTTCGGTATATATACAAGGGAGGAGTGGTCAGAGGTAAGTAGGAGTGGTTTTGGGGATGATGTAGACAGAGTGGGAGTTAACCATAAATATATACAGAGACATATATATTAGGCATTTACATATGTAACAAAAACACCTGGTCCTAAGTCCCTTTTTTCAGTGCCGTTGTAACTTTGGGCGGTCACTAAATGGAACTGTTGTAAGTTGAGGGACTAACTGCACATAAACCCCCCCCCCCAGCTTTTTGGCTGTGTCAGCTCTGGTGGAAACCCTGAAGATTTAAAAATGAAGGTGATTTTGTCTTCTTTCCATCTCCAGCTCGCAGATTTTTAAGTGATAGGTCTTTAACTTGACCTACTATTTATTTGCATAATTTAGGGTAAGGTAAAGGTAAAGGTTCCCCTCACACATATGTGCTAGTCGTTCCTGACTCTAGGGGGCAGCGCTCATCTCCGTTTCAAAGCCAAAGAGACAGCGCTGTCTGAAGACGTCTCCGTAGTCATGTGGCCGGCATGACTCAACGCCAAAGGCGCACGGAACGCTGTTCCCTTCCCACCAAAGGGGGTCCCTATTTTTCTACTTGCATTTTTTTACCTGCTTTTGAACTGCTAGGTTGGCAGAAGTCACGGGAGCTCACCCTGTTACGGGGCACCAGGGATTCGAACCGCTGAACTGCCAACCGTCTTTCGATCGACAAGTTCAGCGTCTTAGCCACCGAGCCACCGCGTCTCCTAATTTAGGGTAGATTGATTAAATTTCAGTCCTAACTTTATAAACAAGGTTATACAAAGTTCTCCTTGCTGTAGAAGGAGAAATGAACCGGGAAGCCTTACGTCCCTGTGAAAGTAGCTGCAACGTTTTCCCAAATAACATCATTCTGTGAATTGTAAGGTTTAAAGCTTCCTTCTTTCTATTCCCCACCCTTATTTTTCTATCTTGACGCCGGTAAACTCACCGAGTTCAATGGAATTTACTTCCTTATAAATGGGAATAAGATTAACTATCCTGTCCGACAAGTTTTGTGTAGCGCTGAGAAATTATTTTCTCTAATGTATTGATGTTTGAAATACAGTGAAGGTTCCAGGCAGGTGAGCAGTATTCAAATTGTCCTCACTGTTAGGAAGTTTCTCCTTAGTCTGGATCTGGTTCACCTATTGAGTTCTTCCCAAGGATCTGGGAGAGGAGGCAGATTGTGGCCTTTCGATGATGTTAAAAGGCTCATTGCAGGCCGATTCCAAGTCAAGCTATTTTCTGCAATTGACCGACGGTGAATTTGTCAATTTTTATTTATTTATTTATTTATTTATTCAATTTATATACCGCCCTTCTCCTAGTGGACTCAGGGCGGTGCACAGCCAAAACTAAAATACATAACAATACAAAATTTAAAATTAATTAAAAGAATTATATACTTTGGCCCGAATTAAAACAGTGCGAATTAAAACCCATTAACAAATTAAAACTAAACAATTAATAACCATTAAAAACTAAAAAAGTCAATGCCGATTTTGTTCACGTTGTGCCCCAGATAATTTGGGATTGCACCCCAGGCCCCTATCACTATTGATGTCACGATTATATGATCTGTGTGTGTGTGTAACCAAGGCCATGAACTTACCTAATACAGGAAGACCTTGAGTTACAATCACAACAGAGCCCCAAATTTCTGTCGCTAAAGTGAAACATTTGTTAATTGAGCTTCGGCCACTTTTCTTGCCACCGCTGTTAAATTAATCCTTGCGTTTGTCACACGGTTATTATGTGAATCTGGATTCCTCCATGGACTTGGCTTGCCAGAAGGTCTCAAAAGGGGGATTACCTCTTCTGACCCCCCGGGATACAGCGACCGTCATAAATATGATCCAGTGGCCAAGCATTCGAATTTTTATCATGTGCCCATGGGGATGCCGCAACGGTCCTAAAGTGTGAAAAAGTCACCTTTTCAGCGCCGTCAATAAGTATTGGAAATGTAAATTTGTATATAAGAATCTGTAAATATTTTCTATTTTTACTTTCTGATTATTGGTGTATATATTTATATTATCTGTATTTTATCTTGGCTGTTCACCACCCTGAGTCCTTCGGGAGTAGGGTGGTATAGAAATTTGATTAAATAAATAAATAAATATATACATGGATATTTTGGTCATGTTACACCGTGATAGAAAAACTATTATACATTTGTCTTTTTTTGTTTTTTTTTTAAAACTATAATAAAAAATATTTTTTAAAAAAATCACCCAGCCAGATTTCAGATTTGAAATATAGTAGATTAAAAACCTCCATATTTTGTTCTTTTGGAGAATTCTTTCCATTCTTGCTTGCAATATTCCCAATGGCCACGAGATGGCCCCAGAGAGATATGGAGCACTTACTGCTCTCTAGTGATCGCCTGGTTTATTGCAGCCCAGCTCTGTTGGCAGCCTGTATACATTGTTAATGTTGCAATGGAGAGATCTACTCCTAGTTTTTTTTTTTTTTCTGATGTTTCTATGCATCCTTTTCTATGCAGCTCTGTAGCTCACAGGTAAATCCCGCCCTCTCTCGCCCCCCCACTTTTCCACCCAGCTCTTACTTCCGAATGTGACGTTTGTGCTAATTAACATAACGGTTCCCAGAAGCCTTTGCAGCACCGGATCCGCTTGGGAGTGGGAAATAGGGGCGATTTTCCCCTTCCAACGTGCACAAATAAGAGCGCAAATGTATCGGTGTGTAGAATACAAAACGGATGATCACTTTTATAAGACTGAGTTGGGGGCTCACCGTGGGTTGATTCATGGTTGCCTGGTTCGGCACCGAAACGATCGGGAAGATCTCGTTAGCTTTGCGCAGTGGCAGTATCGTAGCCAATGAGGTTTATCCGAGGCGCGATTATTGCTAATTGAAAACTTTTCCCAATACCCCGCCATGACGACTTGAAATATAGTCGGCATTGGCAATTTTTGACAGTCTCTACGGAGACTGAATACTTTGGTTTTAAGAATAGAATTGGAAAAAAAACTTTGAGGTCTAGCTGCTTGAAAAACCCATTTTAAGCTAGTGGTTTTGAAAGACGCGTTTTATGAAAAATTCGTTTTTTGACCTTGGGGAACTCTCTTTAAGATGGGCTTTTTAAAGCCCATGTTTTATCAGTGAAGCATGTGTTCCGCGGGATTCTGGGAGTTGAAGTCCACCCGTGGGGGGGGGTGTAAGTCTCCAACATTGTAGACTTCAATTCCCAGAATCCCTCAGCTAGCCATGCTGACTGGGGAATTCTGGGAGTTGAAGTCCACCCATCTTAAAGTTGCCAAAAGTTAAGAAAGTTTGATCTAACGGCAAGGGGGAAGTCTCCTACCTTGTGGACTTCAACTCCCAGAGTCCCTCAGTTAGCCATGCTGGCTGGGGAATTTTGGGAGTTGAAGTCCACTAGAAAGTCTGATCCAGAGCAAGGTGGGGGGGGGAGCCTCCAACCTTGGCAACTTTTAAGACTTGTGGACCAACTCCCAGAATCCCTCAGCTAGCACAGCTGGCTGGGGAATTCTGGGAGTTGAAGTCCACCCGGCTTAAAAGTTGCTAAAAGTTAAGGAAGACTGATCTACCGCAGGGGGAAAAGTCTCCAACCTTGTGGACTTCAACTCCCAGAGTCCCTCAACTAGCCATGCTTGGCTGGGGAATTCTGGGAGTTGAAGTCCACCAGAAAGTCTGATCTAGAGCAAGGGGGGGGGAAAGAAAGCCTCCAACCTTGTCAACTTTAAGACTTGTGGACTTCAACTCCCAGAATCCCTCAGCTAACCATGCTGGCTGGGGAATCCTGGGAGCTGAAGTCCACCCGTCTTCAAGTTGCCCAAAGTTGAGAAACTTTGCTCTTTAAGAGAGCAACGAAATCCAAGCGGGCTTTATTTTAAATTCCCGCATTCCCCATCGAGGGGGTGGGGTGGGGTGGGGTGGGGGTGCAAGCTTCCCCCCCCCCCTTGCCATTCCCAAAAACGGCCGCCAGGGGACGCTAAGCGCCGCAGAGACCCCGCGAGGTCTCCTTTTCCCCCCCTCCCTTTTCTCCCCTCCGCGATCCAGCTGGCGCCCGCGCGGCGGGGGCGGACCTCGGTGGGCTCGCGGGCACGCGCCCTCGCGCGCTCCCGGGACATCAGCAACAGCAGCAGCAGCAGCTCCAGTCGGGGCGGCGGCAGCAGCAGCACCAGCAACATGGACGATCTGGGTGAGCCACGCGCCAATTCCCCCTCCCCTTACTTTCTTTTTGGGTGGGTGGGTGGGCGAGGGTCTTTTGCTTTTGCTTTCTTGCCCCATCTCTCTTTCTTTCCCCTCTCCTCTCTTCCCCTTTCTTGGAAACCTCTTTACTTTGTTCTCTCTTTTTTGGGGGGGGAGGGTCTCCTTCTCCTCCCCCTCTCCCTTTGCTGCCTTGAATTGGGGATGGGGTCTCTCTCTCTCTCTCTCTTGGGGTCGCTTCTCCCCTCCCTGGTTTTTTTTTCTCCCCCTTTGTGGAGCGCTCCCTTGACTTTTCCAAGTGGGTTTTTTCCTTTCGGGGGCTGCGATCGCCTTGCTTACTCTCCTTTCCCCCTCCCGATCCCTTTCGCTGGGAGGCGTCCGCTTCGTTTTTGTTTGTTTGTCTTAAATCGCAAAACTTCTTTTGAAGTGTTGCGAGAAATCTTACTTCCCTTCCGTTTTTGGGACGCTTCCCGATCTCTCTCTCTCTCTCTTTCTCTTTCTCTCTCTCTCACCCCCCCATAAATTCCCAAATTGACTTTTTTTTAACTGGGGGGGGGTAGTCCCGTGCCTTCTCCTGCTTTGCTTCTGGGTGGGGAAGGGGGCGTCCTTGTGGGTCCCCCAAACTTCTCTTCCTCTTCCTCGGGAGTTGGGCGGCATAGAAATGCGATAAATGAAATTAAATTTTTGGCCAGTTCTCGACTCTTCGGAGTTCAGTTTAAACTGGATCAAAAAACTGCCCCCTCCTCTCCACCTGCCATGCGGAAGCCCCCTCCCCAAGCCTCTCTCTCTGCCTTCACCCTCCCCACCTACTCCACCCTCCCCCACCCCTTGGC